TGCAGCCCTTCTCCTTACTCAGCCGGCCACATCCCAGCAGCATTCTGAGCAGGTCCTCATGCCTCGGGCAGGGGTGGGGGGCCTCAGCCAGTAGCCATGAGGTCCTGCCCAGGGCCTAGCCCGTTACTCTTCCCTCCCCGCCCTGGGAAAGGTGCTACAGCACAGGGTGCTCATCACGTCTTGGGAGCCACTGAGACAGGAAGAGGCGTTGGCCCAGGGAGCGGTTTAGCTGGCCTGGGGCCCCGCCCTGCTAGCCCTTGTTGTACAAGTGGGACAGATGTCAAGAGGGAAGAGAGGTGTTCAAAGTTACACAGAAAGTGAGCAGCTGTGAGGACCAAGAGCTTACTTCACTTGCTGGCAGGGACATTCCCCAAATTAAAAACCAGGGGATCAGTAGGTTCCTATTGCCCAGGGGCTTGGAGACTTCCTGGCTGGTTCCAGCCTGTCCTTGGGCCCTGCCCAGGCACGACTTGGTCCAACTGGCCAGGCCCAAGGGGAGGAGGAGGGAGGACGAGAGTGTGCCCCTCCGCCCCTGACTCAGAGGACCAGACAGTGGCATCCCCTTGGCCTAGGGGCGGGCCCTGACTCAGGCGGTCACTGACCGACGGAGCAGGGTTCTCCTGCCGCCATGACTCACACCCACCCACCCATCTGTTCTCCAGAGCGAAACTCCCCAGAGGTTTCGGGACGCGGGTCAAGGGCCCGTTTCATCCCAGGGCTGAAGGCTGGGCCCCTGAAGAGGACAAGCGGCAAAGAGCATACTTTATAGCATGGGGTGGGGGGCAATGTTGGGGCACAAGCGGCCTCCCACCTGGGCAGAGGGCAGAGCAGGGGCCAGCCAGCCTAGTCTCTGCTCCAGGATGGAGTTTCCTGTTCTGCCCCACTCTGGTCCTGCTGCTGGCTGGGTCCGGTTTCGGCATGTTTGCTGATGCAAGGAAGCCTCTGGGAGCCGGCCGGCTGGTGGTGTTTGAGGACAGACAGTGACAGCCCCGGGGACGAAGGTGACACATGTTGTTCACTCTGGGAGGGCCGCTATGTGCAGCATTTTCCACTCATTATTTCATTTAATTTTCACGAGTAATACAGTTATTATCCCCATTTTCGAAGTGAGGGAACAGAGGAGCCAGAGTAGGTGAAGTGGTTTGCTTGAGGTCCCCCTAGCAAGGGAGCAGCAGGGGTGGGACGGGAACCCGCGTCTTCTGGGGGGTGGGGAGAGAGGAGTCGCTTCCCTGATGGTTCCCCCGGGGAGGGGTCTGGCTAACTTGGCCTTTCTCTGCCTCCTGATGCCCAGGCCCTCAGGCCCCCAGCGCACGCCTGTCCTGTAACGGCCATCTCCCCTGTGCTCCCAGGGCAGACCTTGGGTGTTCATGGAGGATTTGTCGAGTGAATAAATGACTTTTTTCTGAGGAGCTGAGTCTACCAGAATGCTCTTTCCTCCTATCAGGGCAGAGCCCTCCAGCACGTGCGCAGGGAGTGGGAATGGGTGGCCACGGGCACCTGTTGTGACAGGACCCGTGTTGGTACCGTTTACATTAGCAGACGTAGGAGTGAATGTGCGGCCCTGGGTCCCACAGGTAGGCCGGCAGCCTGTACACAGGTCACAGGGACAGGCAGGGCTTCTCCCTGGCAGGACGGAGGAAAGGGAGACCCCTGGGAATGGCCTTATGTACGTCAGGCGAAGGTCTGGGCATCCTGAACAGGGGCCTCCCTCCATTTGATGGGCTCCGTGGAGGAAGTGGCCCAGGGAGGGGCCAGGCATCAAGCGCTCCTGGGACCCTGTGCAGAGGTTGGAGGCCTGGTGGGAGAGCTTCTAGGCCTCGTTCGCACTCTTGGTTGGGGAGGGATCAGTGTTGGCCTGTTTGGGAAGCGAGGGGCCTGAGGAGACCCCCATCGCACTGATGCCCCAGAAGAGCTGCCCGCCCCCCCAGCCCCTACCAAGCTGGAGGTGGCACGTCAGCCCTCCCATCCCCTCCAGGGGAGCGTTAGGCTTCTCCAGCAGTTGCCACGGCTCTGTACATGAAAACGTCACACACAAAAGCTCAGCTTCCCCAACTGCCAGTCCTGTGCATCTGGACTTGGAGCCCTGTTCTCAGTTGTACTGCAGAGAGAACACACCTCCATCACCAGGTTGCTGTGAGGGGGAAAGAAGATTCCTCCAGTACCTGGCCTTCCTCTTCAACCCAGGGCCCACGGGGCTGATGTGACCCACGGCCAGGGAGAAGGTACACCGAGAAGTTTCCCCAGTGACGGGCAGTGATGGGCCCTGCGAGAGGGAGATGGCCGAGCTCTTCCCCAGCCCCAGGCAGGCCCTCTTGCCTCCACGGCGGCTCGGCAATCGCCCGGCCCAGAGAAGGGCTGAGAATCCAAGCACCAGGTTTTGGGACAGAACCTAACTCAGGTGGGCTCCTTTTGTCCTTACCCACTTCTGAGGGAGCAGTCATCTGAGGGAGGCAAACACTAGACATAGAGCAGGGGGGAGGTTGAGCCCTCCCTCGGCCTCCAAGGAATCGGCCATTCCTTAAAAAAGCCACGAGGTGATCCTGTTCTGTTCGCAAGGCTTGCTTCCAGTATAGGCTCCACAACCCGGCAGCAGGGGGAGCTTGGGCAGTTCCCAGCCTCGGGGAGCAGGTTTCCAGGGTGGCAAAGAACCCCTCGAAGTGGGAACTCTGGGTCCTGTGATGGTGCGACAGGGGGTAAAAAGGGGCCCTTGGCACTGAGGCACCCCAAGGGGTGAGGTGCGGAGGACCAACGGTCTCTTAAAGCCGACAGGGGCCCCAAGTAAAAACAAGCCAGGAGCAGGCAGCAAGCTATTGTATATCATGCTTTTAATACAAACTTAAAAAAATCTGGAACAATATAAACTGTACAGATTTGATCAATCTTTTTGTTTTGTTTTTAAACTAAATCTCTAAACACACCAATGTCCCATTCCAAAATATTGCACAACATTCTGAATACAAAATGCTTGATTGTATTCCTCCTTCACTAAAGAAAACAAGTCCCTTACCCTGCTCCCCCAGGCTCCTCTCAATGCCCTCCTTCCCATCCCGAGGGGTCAAACCAGAGAATCTATAGCTCACTGCATTGAGAAAAATACATCATTCTGGACTAAAAGTTTACATTCTTTACAAGACGATCCACCTTTTGATTTGTTCCTGGGAAAGAGGGGCAGACAGAGAGAGGATGGGGAAAGGGGAGAAATAGGTTTAATTCTCCTCTTTTTTTATTTTAAAGTTTGTTTTTCCTGAAAAAATATCTGTTTCTCTCCTCTTTTTAAGAAAAAATCTTGAAAAGAAAAAAATTACGTTTTTACGTTAGAAATATACATATATTATATATACCTCTTACATTTTACAAATGTAGCAAATTATTCAATACAAACGGACACCAAAAAATGTAAAAAATAAAAAAAAAAGTATTCCTACGAAACCAGGTAAATTAGTGCAGGTTTTTGTTTTCGTTTCCTTAAAAAAAATAAAATTGAAGCAAAAATGCCTAGGTTTGAGACGAGACAGACTGAACTGGGCCCAAGAGTCCAGCAGCGGAGTCATGCTCCTGAACATACATTTTTCTTCGTATTTCAAAAGACACTAAGGGGTTGGTCTCCCCCTCTCCCTAGATGTGGTGAGAAACAAGCCGACCAGGGGTGGCGGGTACCTGTGTACGTGAGTGTAGGGGCATAAATAAGGCAGCATCCAACCTTTCCCAGAGAGCAGCCATCTGCCTGGGCCTGTCACCTGTGTGGGAGCGGAGGGCTAGGGAGAGGGTCGCGCAGACTGGGCCGGCCCCTGAGAAATCTAGGGGACAGCTGGTGCTGGGCTGAGGAGCCAGGGCGTTGCCCCGCTGGGGGAGGTAGAGCTGGTGCCCAATGCAGGGGGAGGAGGCTGGCAGTGTGTGTCTGGGCTGGACCCACTGCCGCGGTGGTTGCCCCACTTGGGGTCACTGAGGAGGGCGGGGTGGGGTGGGGTGCCAAGGGCTTTGGTACTTTTTGGTGATGGGGGCCCTGATGCCACGTGGCCCACCAGCCAAAGCATCATGGCATGCATGGAAGCTGGCTCACTAGGGTCAGGTGGGAGAAACAACTTCTCTTCCAGCAGAGAGAGGAGGAGCTGAGGCTCTCCTGTAATCCGCACACACCACCTGCGATGGCCAAACGCCTGTCTAAGCCGGCCTGCCCAAGAGACCACTCCTCACAGCATCGAGGCCTAGTGGGGTTGGGTCAGGCAGTGAGAGGGGCTGGCAAGAGGTACCAAGAAGTTCTCACGCAGGCAGGGGCAGAAGCACACTAAAATAACATCTACAACCAAAGGACTAAGAAGTCTCAATTCAAGGCTCAGGACTGCCCACTCTAGGCACTGACGCAAACACCCCCCCCCCCCACGGGTGCTCAGGTGAGCAGCTCCCCCCCTGGGTTAAGATCACGAAACAGGAGGATCTGAGTCCAAAGACTTCTCTTAGGCATCAGGGGCCGGTAGGCTGGTATTCCCTCAGCCCCTCACAGCTAACCCCCCCCCTTTTTTGGTCAAAAACAAAAGTGCAGATCCCTCCGCAGTCTGGAAGCCAGTTCCTTCTGCAGTATTTTCCCCTGGGAGTGTCTCAGGCTCAGGCGCAGGCTCAGCCCAACACGTGACCCACCCTACAAAAGGACTGACAACCCACCCGGCCCATTCCCCAACCTCCTACATAAATAAGCACTTGCCACAACCTGGAATCATGTTGGGGAGAGGGAGGGGGTTTACATGGCTTGGAATCCTTTAGAACAGGACGGCAAACCACGCACACGCGCGCGCGCGCACACACCCCCACCCCCACCCCCCTACTTGCCCCACCTCCTTCCCCACAACCTCAGGCCCAGGGAAGAAGGGGCTGCACGAGAGGCCACGTGTGTCAACGGCTGGGTCTCTGGGGCCATGGTGGGGGTCTGGGCCGGGCGCGGATGGTGGTGTGGGCCCACCGGACAGAGATGAAAGCAATTCCACTAGACAGAGTGCTAACCTCTCTAGCGGGAGGGTGTCAAGTAGCCAGCCAGCCGCTCCCCATGGTTCAGGCCTGGGAGGGAGCGGGGGCTGGGGTCAGACCTATTTGGGTGGCAGGGCCCAAGAAGGCCTGATGAGGTTGGATGGCTTTGATGAGGTTGGATGGCTTTGAGTGAAAGCAGAGCTGGGGGACAGAGGCAGCGACACAGGGCAGCCTCCCTCTGCTCTGGGCAGGGTTAGGCCCCCGCTGTGGCTCCTCCTTCCCGGTGAGCTTGGACACACCAATCCTAAACCAGGCGTGTGAAGGAGGGAGGGACGGAGGGAGGGAGGGAGCAGCAATTCACATCTGGACCATTCTTAGCACAGGAAGCCACTAATTAAAGATGTTATATAGAAAACTACATGTAAAAAAAAAAAAAAAGAAAAAGAAAAAAAAAGAAAGAAAGAAAAAAATATAAAACCCAAACCAACCAAATAAATCAGAGGCAGGCAGGAAAACAGCAGGGGGTTGAGTTAACCTCGATTCGGTGCTTCAGGAGCCCCCTCCCACTCCCTGCCTGGGCTGGATCTTTTTTTCTAGAAGCCAGAGTGAGAAGACTGGACATCTTTTTGTGTATTTTTCTTTTCCTCTTTTTTTGGCCTTTCTTTTCCTTTCTCTTTCCTGTGGTCTTGGGCGCTCCTGGCCCCGCGGCCGGCGGGTGGTCAGTTGGCCAGCACGACAGGCTGGAAGGGCTGGCTGGGGTAGGGCATGGTGTTCAGGTTGTAGCTGAGGCCTTCCACGAAGGGTGTCTTCTCCAGGAAGAGGCTGTTGGTGCCGCCCCCAAACACCTGAGCCACGTCGAAGCTGCTGCTAGTGCACGAGGCGGCCCCAGCACCCCCACCATCGGCCCCGTCAAAGAAGAGGCTGGCGGGGCCACCGTTGTACACGAACTCCTTGGCGTTGGGGGAGAGCTGTGACTGAGGGGCCGGGCTGGCCGCGACGAAGTTCAGTGAGTGCAGAGACAGGGAGAGGCTCTTGTGCTTCAGCAGGCTGCTGGTGGGGGAGCGGGCCAGGCGGGGCTGCGGAGGCTGGGGGCCCCCGGGCCCACCGCCCGCCACACCCCCGCCCCCCGCGGCCCCGCCGCCCTTCTTCATCTTGGTGGAGCCAAACTTGGTGGCGGCAAAGGAGGCGGTAGTGAAGGTGATGGGCTGGGCAGAGCGGGGGATGAAGGTGGGGCTGGGCGACTGGCCGAAGGATGGTGATGGGGAGCTGGACAGGGAGCTGTCCTGGCTGCCGATGGGCACGAAGACCTGTGCGTCGGGGTTGAAACTGCTCTTGAACTCCTTGTCCAGCTCTGGGGCAACACAGCCCTCGCTGTCATCCAGGTACAGCACTTTCACCGCCCCCTTCTCGCCGATCTGGTAGGACACTTCGAACGGGTCGATCCAGACGCTCAGCTCCTCGGGCACGTTGGCCCGCACATCCTCCACGGCCAGGCCGCTCCGCCGGGCGGCCAGTTCCACCACGGGGTCCACGATCTCCCCGATGTGAACACAGCGGAAGCCGGAGCCCTTCAGGGGCTTGTCAGGGTACCAGTGGCCTTCATATTTCTTTTTCAGGAGCCGCTCCAGCTCCTCGCCGAACAGGTCTGCCCGGCGCCGGGGCAGCTTGTTGTACAAGTAGGAGATGATAAAGTTCAGGGCCACTTTGATCTCCAGCTGCATGGTCCTTTCCGAGGCAGCAAATCAGCTCCGGGCACGTGTATACAAGCCGAGGGCAGTGGCAGGTGATGGAAGGTCGGCAGCCTTGGGCTCCAGACAGCTCTGCAAACCAAGAACAACGCAGGGTATTATGAGTAAATGTGCAGAAAGCCTGGCGGGGGGGAGGGGGGGGCGCGGGGATCAAGGGAAAGGATAGAAAAGCACCAACTTTAGATCTCAGATTCAGAGCCCCTTTCTGCTCCACTAGTGACTAGCTTGACTGTGTGGCTGAGGGCAAGCCACTTTCTTCTGAGCCTTAGTTTCATCAGTGACATAAGGCTATCATGGAGAGTAAGTTAGCTCAAGGATGTAAACTCTCTCACACTGAACCTGCTAATTAGAAGGCACCTGATAAAATGAGCTACAGTTTTTCGGGGCACCTGGGTGGCTCAGTTGGTTAAGCGACTGCCTTCGGCTCAGGTCATGATCCTGGAGTCCCGGGATCGAGTCCCACATTGGGCTCCCTGCTCAGCGGGGAGTCCACTTCTCCCCCTGACCCTCTTCCCTCTCATGCTCTCTCTCATTCTCTCTCAAATAAATAAAAATCTTTAAAAAAAAAAAATGAGCTACAGTTTTTCAAGTAATTCTAAAGAAACAGGAGTGCTGTGGTTTCCACTATTTTGAGAATCCAAGTCACTATACAACTGCTATCAAAAAACAAAACAGAGAGCCTAGGTGGCTCAGTTGTTAAGCGTCTGCCTTCGGCTCAGGTCATGATCCCAGGGTCCTGGGATCGAGCCCCACATCGGGCTCCTTACTCAGCGGGAAGCCTGCTTCTCCCTCTCCCACTCCCCCTGCTTGTGTTCCTGCTCTAGCTCTCTGTCAAATAATAAATAAAATCTTAAAAAAAAAAAAGCAGAAAGCAAAAAACCCACAAAAAACTGAGACCCTAATTCAACTGGAGAAGGGAAGGCTCTTGGTAACTAATCTCCATAACGTCTTGGTGAAGTCGTGCTCCCAACAGTCACAGGCCAAGATATAAGTTTAAAATCCTTAGTTTTTCTCCTTAAATGGAAAGGGATACAGATCACTGAACAGGAAACAGCACTGCCAGCTTTTCACTGGGGGCTTGGACTCCAGTCACACCCAATTTGTCATCCTGGGCCCTACTGGTGTACATGCTCTCTGGCTCGCTCTGGGTTTGCAGAACTGATGTTTCAAGAACACAGTGTAACCAAAGGGTGCATTTCCATCGAGGCAGCCTCCAAGAATGGAGACAAGAACACGATCCCCAAGAAGTCAAGACCTGTTACAACCAGAGGTGTGGGCCAACAAGGGACTGCTGAGCAGGGGCTGTCTCAGGGAAGCAGAGGAAATGAAACGGAGGCAAGGCCCCGTAGGCCAAAAAGTCCTTAAGAGCAGCACTGGTGTGGCCGGAGGGAATCTCTAGCTTTTGGCTAGAGTGTAGGTGATGAGGGTGGCAAAGAGAAGAAATTTTCCATCACCCTGCAGCCTCCAGCTGGGGACCCATCATCACTGAGTCTCCTGGGGACCGTCTGACCACCTGTCCTTGGCACCAGATAAGACTTATCAAGTGTTTGGAGATCCCTGGAGAGGAGACAGCCCAAGATAAACACTCAGATTGTTATTTTGGGATTCTCTCACAGCCAGCTCCCACAGAGGTCAAAAAGGTTTATTCCTGAGGTCTGGGCCAGCCTCATGTCTCAGGAAGATGATCTGTAAAGTCCTGAGAGCGAGTGATCCTCATCTCCTCACTCTGGATCTCCAAAAGGGCAGCTCCAGGGTCATGCTGTGGGAAGACTGAGAAGGACCACCTTTAAGGGTCAGCAGGGCCAGAACTTGTTCCCAGCCAGGCCTCTGGATGGGAATGTGCTGCTGAGCTCAGTGCAGAGACAAGACTAATCCATGATCCATCAAGGGCATCTTCTGCCCAGTGATAGATCTGGAGCTGGATTTTGATTAAAATCCCTTCTGGGTCCAGCAAAGAGTATTCAGGTGCAAATTCTAGGCTTGAGGATCTTGAGGTTTTTTGAACACCTGCCCCAGCTCACTACCTTATAATTCTTTGGACTGGGGCCATGGCTCCTAGGGGTATCTTTTAGGACTGGATCCTTGGGCAAAGCTCTTGGGTGAATATCAGAGAAGCAGCACTGGGTCAATCTGGAGCATCACGGGACACTGGTTAGGTCTAGTCCCACCCTCATTTCAGGTCTGAGCAGAGGGTCACATGGGGATTCAACAGAGGTGCCATGAGCACAGATCAATTCCAGAAGGTTTAAAGAGGAAAAAAAAAATGGTAAAGATAGGGGGCTTTCTGTTTATAAGGACTGCGTTCATCACCAGGGCAAGGCTAGCCACCAGGCTGCAGGCGTCCCCCAAGAGGAAGTCTATAAGGGCCACAGCAGCCCACCAGAGGTGTCCAAAATGGAGGAGATTAAAAAGTTATGAAGAAAGTTGGCACTGGTTCCCAAGGATGGGCCTGGAGCTAAAGACAGTGTTTTCAAAGTGTTTTTGAAAAGTAAAACAGACTTAAATATGACATTATACTTCCCGAAAGCACCACGTGGCCAAGAGGTGTACCACTCACATCAAAGGGCTCCTACACCTTTCTAGGCCTCTTCAAACTTTGCTGCATACATGCCTTCCAAGTTAACCTCCCCTGAAGTGTTCAGCCTCAAAATGGGAGCATTTTTATTTATCTATTTCTTCTTTAAATTAAATTTTACTTAGTTAACATACAGTGCAATATTGGTTTCTGAAGTAGAAATCAGTGGTTCTTCACTGACATATAACACCCAGTGCTCATTACAACAAGTGCCCTCCTTCATCCCCATCACCCATCTAGCCTGTCCCCCACCCACCTCCTTCCATCAACCCTCAGTTTGTTCTCTATCGTTAAGAGTCTCTTATGGCTTGTTTCCCTCTCTCTTTTTTTTCTTTTCAAAATGGCAGCATTTTAAATGCAGGCCAAAGTCATTGGGAAATAAGCCTCCCACCCCAAAGTACAAAAGAACCACTGTCATCAGCCCTGCCTAGCTGACCATTTTCTGCAGCATAAGCAACTAAAGCTGTACACCAATTTATACCTCAGTGATGCTGCCACACAAGTAAGGAAGTATATAATGCCATCTTTGCCTCTTTAACTGGAGAACAGGCCAGGCCAGATGGCTGTGGGGCGGAACCTTTCAAAAATGCTGGACAACCAGAATGAGATTTTCTGCTCTATCAGCTCAGGCTCTAATTTTGACTTCAAGAAGCTTATGGAACAGAGGATTAAAGCACTGGTGCTGTCTTGTCTTTAACTAAAGATAGGAGTGACCACTCAGATGAGTTTGTTCATTTTTTTTAAGGCTATGGACAAATTCTCGGCTTATATATAAATATTCATAGAATGTGGTAAGATTAGAAAGCTTAGTAATAACTACTCTTCAATACAAGTAACAAGTAGATTCAAGTTAAGAGGGAAGAGAGGACTTTAAGATCTTCTCCAACTCTGACTCGGGTGCAAAAGGCCAGAAAGGTGGCAAAAAGTAAAAACAAAAACAAAACCAACCAAACAACTCCCTTCCCCCCTCAAAAACCAAAGTGTTTAACAATAGCAACATCTACCTTTTGTCAATATATTAAAAAGTTGCGAATGTGAGAGTAAATTCTGTCCAATTTCATTTAGGATCTAATCCTCCTTCACTTGTTTATTCCCAACAGCAAAATTAATGTGGGATTCAGATCCCTTGTGCTGACTTGTGTTTTATTTTTTTTAAAGATTTTTATTTATTTGACAGAAAAAGACACAGCGAAAGAGGGAACACAAGCAAGTTGCTGAGTGGGAGAGGGAGAAGCAGGCTCGTCGCTGAGCAGGGAGCCCGATGCGGGGCTCGCTCCCAGGACCCTGGGATCATGACCTGAGCCCTATGCGGGGCTCAATCCAAGGACGCTGGGATCATGACCTGAGCCGAAGGCAGATGCTTAACGACTGAGCCACCCAGGCGCCCCTTGACTTGTGTTTTAAAGAGTGCTTAAGAGAAGGACAAAAACGAGGTAAGAAAGGTGGCTGCTACAGTCAATGATATGGTAATGGAGTTTCCAGAAAGAGCTTATAACAAAAATGCGAAGGAAGGTTAAGAAGAAAATCAATATGTTTTAAAGGGGAAAAGAAGGGATAATGGTGAGGGAACTCCTCGGGCCCCCAAACCAGGAGTACCTATAAAATATTCAGGCACCTCAAGCCTTAACAACCAAATGGTCCTACAACCAAGCACTATCAGGTTCAAACGAGTCTGGAAAGAGGACTCGGGAAGGAGGGGTCCTCAGTTTTGACAAGGCCAGCAGGTGTCGCACACCGGATCCCAGGGAGTGAGAGCCAGGTTCCGTGGGACCGCCTGGCCCCACCCCACCAGTCCCAGAGGCAGCGACCCAGACCAGCGGGTATGCTCGAAGGCCTTCCAGGACTTGTGCCGACGGACCACAACACCCCACCCAGAGTCTCCACCATGACCCTCAAACATGGACTATGCGAGCCCAACTCTTCCGACTAAGAAGGCCCTTTCTGGGGCATTCGGTTCCTGCGAAGCCAGGAAGACCTCACTGAACTCCAACGTAGGCCGGCAGTGAAGGCGCGTTCTGCACTCTGGGAACTGTAGTCCTCAGACACCTCACGCTCAGATTGGAGCAAGTGACCTACTTTCTCTGCACACTACACTTCCCTGCGTGCTTTGCGAAGGTTCAGCCAGCGAATTACGCATGCCTGGTAAGGGGAGCTGGCCGAGGTCCGGGGAACCGAGGAAAAGTTTCCGATGCACATGCGCGCTGTGGTGGACGCCCCCATCCCCCCCGCCCACCGCTTAATACATTTTGTATAAATTTACCCATAAGGCCTACTCTCCGTATTGTACCACCCTACCGTATTCACGTCTTGGTCTCAAGAAAGGCTGAATTGCCGCCCCTTCCTCTTCACAGGCTCCCTTGACTGTTCAATTAAGGATCTCCTTCTAATGAGTTTTTTCTGGGTGAACACGGTGGGCTGGGACAGATAAAGGTCACACATCCCTCCGCCGTCCCCCCCTCCCCCGCCCCTGCCGCTTAATCTGTATTCCTTGGCCTGGGTGGTCTCCGTCTGGAGTTGCTGTAGGGACGGTGAATTCAAAGAGGAAAAAAAGCGTTTTCACTTAATGCCCGGCGGGCTCAGCTCCAACACCCCCACGGCCAGAAGAGGCAGGAACTAAACCCAGTTCTCCCTCTCAGCCAAAGAAATTCCCAGTTAAGCTGCGGGGAGGGGCCGGGCGGAAAATCAGAAGGCCCAAAGCCAGCAGGGCCCAAGCCTCACCCCTCTTCTAATCCGAGTCCGAGTAACTAGACCCAGCTAGGGAAATGGGAAAACGTTCCGGGCAGGGAAGGAAAAACTGCATCTGACACCCGAACAACGTATTCTAATACTTGAAATTGTTTGTGGGTCTCCTCCCATTGCAAGGCCTGCTCTATGACCAGACTTACCAGATCCTCGGCAAAGCTCCCCTACACGCTGTTAAACCTCCTTAATCCTTCCTCCCACACAAGCTTCTTTCCCCCACTGCTTAAGAGGGGGATGGGGGCAGGTGCCCAAGAAAGCAATAGGAGTGTTTTTCTGCTGGAAAATCAAAGATGAGGGGCTCACTCCCAAGGTAGGGTGGATAGGAAGGAGAAAAAGAAAGGTTAGACACTGAGCAAGGCACCTGAGACCCCCTCCGAGGGCCCAAGCTGCAGCCCGCTGTGTAGGGTTCTGGTTCCTCTGCGGGGTGGGAGAAGGCCTGCCAACTGCCCTTCCTCTCTCTGCTCCCCCCCCCCCGGTCAAGGGCACAGTCCAACCTCTGGGCAGGAGGGGAACGAGCTTAGAAGTAGGGCTCTTCCTCCCAGGCATCTCACCGGGATCAACCAGAATCCACTCACTGGTACTGCTGTAAACGCACTTCACCACCCCCCTCCCCCCCCGCCCCGCACAGTTTTCCCTTAAAACACGAAAGCGAAAACGGTAAATTCTGGTTCAGCGGCCGCAGGACAGTCACCACTGACCGGTCCAAAAGGGGATGTCTACCTTCTATCCCTCAGCTCTACAGGGCCAGAAATAAACCCTATTAATTATTACCACCCCCTTTCCCGCACACGGGAAAAGCAGAAAAACAAGGCCTGGATCCCCTTCCTTCCTCTGATTTATTTAATGGTGGTGGAAGTTATGTTTTGCGGGGGGTACAAAGAAAAATCTAGCGAGTCTCTACGATATGAAGAACTGAGGGGGGCGGAGAGGGGAGGAAATGCACCCCACCCAGGAGGGGGCCACACTCAGAACACGGAGCGGAGAGGAGCACCGGGGGAAAAGGGGGGGGGGGGGGTGTTCTATCGGGGAGGTGGAAGGGGAAAGGAAAATGTTGGCCAGTCCTCGGGATGGGGGCACGATAGCAACGTGCAGCGTCCAGCAAAGCGAGGAGCGAGAGTGGGACGGGGGTGGGAGAAGGCGTCTCAGGGGTCCCCGCCGCCCGCACGCTCCCCGCTCACTCACTCGGGTCTCCGCGGTGGCGGGGCGGTCTGCCGGTGGCGGGGAGGCTTCTCCCTCCAGGGTGGTCCTGGGCGCGGGGCGGAGGTCGCTCTTCCTTCCTTTCTGGGCGCCGCCGGGCCGGAGGCTGATGGGTCCTTTTATTCGTTGAGAGTTGGGGGACACGTGAGGGAGTTTTGGGCTATGACTCTCAATAATAATTCTTTCAGCTTTTTGGAGGTCAGGCTCGGCGGAGAGGGGACGGAAGGCGGGCGGGCGGGCCGGCCGGCGGCGACGAAGCGGGGATGTCGGACCGGAGGGCGGCTTGTGTCGCGGGGCGGAGAACGGTCCGGGCTCTGGCTAGCGGGCGGTCCTGCCCTTCTGGCCCCGCGTCGCCCGAGCCACTCGCTTCTCTACCGCGACGACCCGCACCTTCCCGCGCCCCGGCCCGAAGTGAGCAAAGTCAATGAAAAGTTTCACCCTTAGCAACCCTGCGCACGGATCCGGCTTCCCCACCCCTGCGTGATGCGTCCCTCCGCCCTGCAGGGGCGGGGCCGGGCGCCGGGCCGGGACTACTTTCCAGCCGGCCAGGCGGCTTAACCTTTCGAGCCGAGGGGTCGGCGGCTCTACATGCCCTCCGGGGGTTCCCTGGCACCTCCTTCCGCCGGCCCTCCCGTGGCCGCCCTCTTCTCACTCAGATCCCACGTTAAACGCCAGCAAGGCCGCCTTTAGCCGGTCCAATGATGCTCGCCTCCCCTCCCCAGCACAGCGCCGTGCCGTGTATTTTCTTCATACCCCAAACCACTGAAAGCGTGCTCATCGGGTACAATGTCTCCCCAGGTAGACATCGAGCTCTGGGAGGGCAGGGTCCTGGCCTGGAACCCGGTGGTTCACTTTAGATGTGTGAGAGGAATGGATGTGGCGGGGAGGGGCGCTCCCTTCCCCAGCTCCCGTGGCTTGGGCCCTGCACCTGCCCTAGCGCGGACTGTTGTTAGGTTTCGCCGGACCTGTTCCCCGAGGCCAGGTCGGCGAGTCCCTCCGGCTCTGGGCGTTTGACTGGCCGACCAACCCCACGGCTCTCGCACCGCCCCAGTTACCGTCCCTTGGCGGGAGGGGGAGCTGAGGGGATGGCGCGAGCTTGGGAGACGTTTCGCTCCTTTATTAACTCGGGTTGGCTCGAGTCTTCCAAGCGCCCCATGCCTCGGCAGGGAATGTTAACGTCGAAGGGAGGGCGAAGGGGAAACCGGGGTCTGAGCACGCTGAGCGGGAGGAAGGGGTTGCGAGGAGAGGCCGGCCGGGAAAAGGAGCCTAGCGCCACATAAACCTAGTTGCTGCCTCTGGCCTCCTAATTACCTCGCGGCCGGAAAAGGCCCGCGCCGGCTCCGCGCAGGCGCGCGAGCGCGCCCCCGGCCAGCCCCGGGTGGGGCTCAGACCTGCTGCGAATCCTCGCGTTTGCTCTGCCGGCTGGCGACCCCCGTACGGGGGACTAGACTGAGCAACTTTTCTTCTATATAAGAGCCCCCCGCTGGCGGGGTGTGGCGCCTGCCCGTACCAGGGGCCCCAGGCTCACGCACCCGACGGTCCATGGGGTTGCAACCAAGGCTCGCTGGCCCTGGACGGGCGCGCAGGTTCGCGGGCTCGGCCACTTTGTGACTGCGGGGCGCGGAGTTGAGGATAGGGAGGCCTGTGCCCAGGTGAGGTCACAGGCGGACCGGACTGCCAGGTTGCGAGGAGCCCCTGGGAGCCTGCGCGTTAAGGCTTTTGCCCAGTCGCCCATTCCCCAATTCTCTCCCCAACCCCCGACCTTTATTCTCATTCCAGACGGTTCCAGCCCATCGGCAGTCGCCGAACCCACGTGGGGTGGCGAAATCCGAAAGTTTCCAGCTACGAACAGTTCGCGTTTGTTTGTTCCTTGATCTTTTTTTTTTTGGCAACGGCAGAGAGCAGCGGTAGTGTGGGGGTTTAAAAGCGCTTTCCTTGACTGCAGCAGAAAAAGGCCGTACTGGAGGGCAAACTCCAAGGGGACAGGGAGGCGCGAGGGAGCCTAAGCCCGAAATCCCCCATCCCCCACACACTGAGCGCTTCGGCCCCTGGGGCACCTCCAGGGACTACTTGCCTCGTGCGTCAGCGAGTGGCAGAGCGTCACACATACGCCCCGCGCCGCTTTGCCCCACTCCACTCCTCCCCTTCTTTTTCCTCCCTCTCCACCTCCCTCCCTTCCCCATCGCTCCCCACTCCTCCCTTGCTCTCCCCTAGCGTATTCCATGCTAGCAGTGAGACCCCCACCGACCTACAGGGTGCCAGAGCACCGAAGAGCTAAAAATATAACCCGTGTGTTAGCAACAGCCTTCCCATTGGTCGGGGAGCAGGGAGAGGCGGCTTCTGATTGGGTTTCCCATCCAACGGCTAGGATTAAGAATGGGGGCCAAAAACCCGGGTGCCGGGCCTTTGAGAAGAGTGTGCGTTTGCGCAATGAGGCATTGCAAAGGATGCTGGTATTTGAAGTCATTTATTAGAGGCAGCAATGGGTTTGAATCCCAACTGTGTCCACCAACCGTGTTATCTTGATTTTATGGTAACAAATCTCTTTACATCATCAACTGTTTTCTTGTTCTTAAAATGGAGATCGTATGAAGATTAAATATGATACAGGATGTAAAGCCCGGCTCAAATAGTTGGTATCCTTAATTTAAAGGTAACTGTTCAGGCCAGATTGCATCCTACATATCCTGTGCACGGTTCGGTGTGTATTCCCCAACAAGAAACCTTACTATAAAGAACGATGAGAAAGAACGGTTAGGGTGAGCTGAAACGAATTCTCCTAGGGCATCTCAGGAAGGAGGGATGGAGTCCATATAAGTAGGTAAGGGGTAGACATCTCCTACCTAAATTTAATGCAGGCTGAGGGAGGGCGCACAGAATCCCTAGACAGAAGGCATAGGATTTCTGCGTGTTCGTGCTTTTGTTTTAATCTCCCCTGCAGTGCTGGAAACACACCAGGCCTGAGCAACTTAACTAAAACAAAACTGAGAAATCCAGCCTCCTTGGCAGTTGGGAGCGCTGGGTAAAGGGTTGGCAAAGAAATAGGAAGGGATAAAATAGAGGGGTGAAAGGTAATCACCATTCTTAACTGCTGATGTCTCCATTTGTCATGTGGCGAGGAGGAGAGAGGACTTTTCTCTCCTCAGTGTGTGACTTCATCTTGCCAGGGCTTAATTGTGAGCTTAATTCCACTCAAGCATTCCACAGTCCCCTCCCATTTTAAATAATCATATGTTGAAAGGTACACACCATGTTTTCAAAATGGTGAGCTTCAGAAGCAACTCCCCTGTCTGAGAGTAAGCAAGTTATACCAGATGTTTTGTTGCCTTGACAAGTCAGGCTGGTAATAATTAACCCCAATTAACTCTCAGGGGTGAGTCACTCTCTCATACGCACACATGCTAGGGTGAAAAATTTTGTAGTTCCTTTTATGTTATCTAAGTAAATAGCTCCTCATATTTGACTTTTTCAGATCCACTGCTCCAGCTGGGCAGGAGCAAAGACAACCCCAACAAAACTGGCTTCAGGGGAAGTAATTGGATGCAGGGCAAATGACTGCTATTTATTCACCAACAATGTGAGAGAACAAACCTCACTAAAGGTTTGCTTGGACACTGAAACTGCAGTGTTCAAAGAAAGCAACATTTTAGCTTTGGTGGCAGCAGGCCACTTGGGATGGAGTTGATAAGCAACCAAATAACTGGGAAAAGATGGGAATCGGAGTCCTTGTTTGCAAGGCGAGAAAATTTCAACCAAGGCAAATAATCTTTCACTTTTATGCCTAGCTTCAAACTACTACTAAAGAGCTGCAGGTCAGAATAGGGTGACATCGTTTTTCTGAAATTTGGTCAGTTCAGTTTGATTCCCTGTGGAGTTTTCTTTTTTCTTTTCTTTCTATTTCCAGTATAGTTAACAAACTGGTTAATCTTAAAGATTTTATTTATTTGAGAGAGAGGGGTGGGGTGGGGGAGGGGCTGAGGGAGAGGGAGTGAGAGAATCCCAAGCAGACTCTCTGCTTAGCGCAGAAGCCGATGGGGCGGGGTGGGGGTGGGGGGCTCGATCTCACAACCCCAAGATCATGACCTCAGCTGAAATCAAGAGTGGGCCGCTCAAGTGTGGGCACACCCAGGCACCCCAATCTTAATTTAGAAGCTGCTAACTGGCAGGCCAAGGTCCACACCTGGTGGATATATGGTCTTGGTGTACACTGACACATTAACATTTTAAAAATGAGTTGACATTTAAAACTTGGGAGATTGCAAAAAGGTATCCTAATTTGCCACTTCTCCTAAATTCAAAGGATCTGGGCATCCAAGCTGGCAATCGTCTGGAGTTGAATGGCAGCTGCCTCCTTTAGGCTGAGCCTATACTCTTGGGTTCCTCAAGTCCCTCAGTGTCCCAGACACTGAGACCAAGGGTCACATACCATTTATCATCCTGTTTGAGCTATTCTTCTTACACCCCTTTTTTCTCAATTATAATGCTCACTCAGACTCTTGAATTTGTGACGCATTTTTTCCATTTAATGTAATAAATAATTGAGTGATTGCCCTGCAATGGAGGGAGAAGCAAAAGGAGTTCAAGGATCTTACCTAGTTCATTGTTGTTAAACTCTGGGTTGTGATTCACGATCCGACACTGGGGTCATGGAATCATTTGGTTTAGTGGATTTCAGACAAATTTTAGAATAGAATGGAATAAAGTGAAAATATTGGAGTGTGTTTACATAGTAAACATTGTTTCATGAAACTTATTGCTGTTAAATGTGGGTACTAGGCCTGAATAGTCTAAGTGGGAGAGATTGTTGTGGGGTATGGTGCATCTGGAAGCATTCATGAGATGTCAGGAGCTTAGAAGGAAGAGGTACCCAGTTGGCTGGCTCATGTCAATGTGGGAGGCTATTTCGAACAAAGGAAATAGAGAGCCAAGAAGACAGGATATGGGCAAGGAATGTCCCTTTAACTGCCTGACGGAAGAACATAGAGAGACGTGAAGAAAGAAAATCCTGGGGGTAGGGAAGAGGGAACCATTGTGAGGACCTTCCATGCCAGGACTTAAATGTTTATCTATGAAAAAGGAACCCACTGTAAAAGAACTACTATTTATGTAAAGACTTCTCCATAAGAGTAAGGAACTTACAAGGTCAAATTTAATCCTTACAACCTGAAGAGGTAAGCCTTGTTATCCTTATAATTTTTTTTAAGACTTTAGTTATTTGAGAGAGAAAGCAAGCACAGAGGGAGAGGGAGAGGGAGAGGGAGAGGGAGAAGCAGACTCCCCGCTGAGCAGAGAGCCCGACACAGGGCTCTATTCCAGCACCTTGAGATCATGACCAGAGCAGAAGGCAGATGCCCAACCAACTGAGCCACCCAGGTGCCCCTATCCTTATTTAATAGATAAGAAAAAAGAAACAAAGAAAGGCTAAATGACTCACTAAAGGTCAACAGCAGAGCAGAATTCAAATACAGGTCTGATTATAAAGCTCACACATTTAAAAAAAAATTATTTATTTGACAGAGAGCACAAGCAGGGGGAGCAGCTAAGTAGGGAGTCTGATGTGGGGCTCAGTACCAGGACCCTGGGGTCATGAGCTGAGCTGAAGGCACATGCTTAACTGACTGAGCCACCCAGGCGCCCCAGCCCACACATTTCTAATTACTTTTTAAAAAACTAATTTTTAGGGGCACCTGGGTGGCTCGGTCGTTAAGCGTCTGCCTTCGGCTCGAGTCATGATCTCAGGGTTCTGGGATCGAGCCCCGCATCTGACTCCCTGCTCGGCGGGGGGCCTGCTTCTCCCTCTCCCACTACCCCTGCTTGTGTTCCCTCTTTCGCTGTGTCTCTGTCAAATAAATAAAATCTTAAAAAAAAATAAAAATTAATTTTTAAAAAAATATTTGAGAGACAAAGAGCACGAGAGGGGGTAGGGTCAGAGGAAGAAACAGACTCCCCACTGAGGAGGGAGCCCGATGCGGGACTCAATCCCGGGACTCCAGGATCATGACCTGAGCCGAAGGCAGTTGCTTAACCAACTGAGCCACCCAGGCGCCCCCTTTTTTTTTTTTTTAAGCAAGAGCACATGGAATGAGTGCAATGTTTATTTTTTTTAATTTTAATTTTTAAAAAGATTTTATTTATTTATCTGTCAGAGAGAGCGAGCGAGAGAGCACAAGCAGGGGGAGAAGGAGAGGCAGAGGGAGAAGCAGACTCCCCGAGCTGGGAGCTGGATGAGGGACTCAATCCCAGGACCCTGGGATCATGACCTGAGCTGAAGGCAGACACTTAACTGCCTGAACCACCCAGGCATCCTGAGGGCAATGTTTAAAGGTGTACTAAGTGTGTACAGTATATTTGAGAAACTGGAAGACACCTATCCTTTTTAAAACCTAGAAATGAATATCAAATACTGAATACTTAATAAATAATATGCCATAAATAAATGCCATAAATCCAGGAAATGGCACTGCTTTCTCAGGTGGACCATGATGAGTTCAATTTTTCAACTAGACCTATGTAGGTATACTTATTTTTTAGGTAGTGCTTTTTTTTTTTTTTAGAGGCGGGGAGGAGCAGAGGGAGAGAATCTTAAGCAGGCTCCATGACCAGCGTGGAGCTTGATCCAACAGAGATCATGACCTGAGCTGAAATCAAAATTCTGACGCTTAACCAACTGAGCGCTGGCCCAGGTAATGCTTATTTAACAATGGAGAAAAACACTTAATAATTTTTAAGGCCATTCTGATTTTTTGTAGACATACACAGTTGGCTGAGATCATTTTCTAATTCCCGCCACAGAATTGTATAGTGTTAGAGGTTAAAATTCAGTTAGTTATGTTTTCCCAACAGCAGAGAATTTGGTACTATTATTATCCTAATTTTTAAAATTGAAGAGGACTGAACTTGAAATTCCAGAATAGACAATTAAGGATTTGAACTTCAAGACCAATCGCTTCTCGGCCTTTTGGCCAAGATCAAGTGTGAACTTCAAGACCATTCACTTTATCACAGGTGTTCTTAACTCAGTAATTGTGTTATTCTCTTGGCCTTGGAAATGAAACAAACTAACAACTGGATTATGAAACTAGGTGAGAGAGGAGCAGAGTTCAGCAGAATTCACTGGGTTGAAGTTGAACTTGCTCCATTCAGCAATGGAGCATGGGGGGGTATGCCCTTGAAATCATCTGGGCATTCATCTTAAACTCGCTTGCAATACCTTTCAGAGGTATGCTCGCTAAGGCTGATGGAGCACAGTTAAAGTGGTGTTTTGCTGAAACTAAGGAGTAGCTTTTGATCTATTTGTAAATGCAAGATGTTATGTGGACCAGGGTGGTTAATAAGCAAATTTTAAAAGTTGATTTGTCTTTATCCAGACAAAACATTATGACTTACAGTATACATTAAAACTAAAATTACTACAGGGATCAGTTACAAATTCTAATCTGAAAATTACCTGGTCTCTACAATTTTGACACACCATAATCCCCCTGACCCACACTTTAGAATTGCTCAGAGAGCTCCCCAAACACATTGCCCAGATTGCTTCCCCCACACATATGCCGTTATCTACCCACCCCACCCCCTTTGCCTGTAGATTCCAATATATCCTTCAAAGCCCAGTTTATTAACCAGCTTGACTTCAATTATTCATTTAATACTGAGGAGCTGCTACCTGCTGGGCCATGGGCCAAACAGACTTGGTTACTGCCACCGTGGAGCCAGCCTAATGGAGGGCTGTCAATAATCACCAAACACTATCAACAAAACGCTATGGTGCTATGTGGGATTACAACAAGAGGAATGAACTTAGATTGGGGGTCAGGAGAGGTATCGTTTGAGGAAATATTATCTAAGGTCTGAAGGATGTCTAACAGCTGGGCAAAAGGGGGACCGAGCATTACAGAGAGCTTAAGAGGTAAAAAGCACCGAGCAGGAAGGAAACCAGCAGCTGAGGAACTGAAATGAGCCCCAGTGGCTAGAGTGTGAAGAGTGGTAGATGAGACGGGAAAGCTTTAAGGATTACCGTTACCCCTGTGGCTATGACCTTCCACTGGCCTTCCTGAGGTGCCCCCAACCTAGGCCAAGAACCTTCCTTTGTGCATCCTCCCTGGGTTATTCTAAACGGTTTCTGGCTGCCTTCATTATTAAATTTCTTGAAGGCAGAGATTATATTTTAATTCACTTTTTGACCCTCAATATATCCCAATTAATCAAGCGTTCTGTTGATCCAAACCAAAGCTCTGATAAGTAGAAGACTATCTTTGTTCCTTGGCTTTGCTACTAAATTTCAGTGTAACTTGGGCCAAGCCTCTGTATTCCTAAGGACTCAAAACCTGCTTCAGATACACGGTGTCAAAGACCACTTGACTGAAGCCTCAAATTATGATTGTGCTTCTTTAGGATAACCTGCTGATCACCTCTAGGAGGCAAAAAGTAAATAGTTGTGTTAAGGTAAAGGATACGGCTGAATTTGCCCTTATTCTGTGTATTTACTTAAAAATAATAAAAAAAAGGAAACATATACTCAATGTATTTATGTCCACTTTGTGAAACGAATCAACCAAGTTCCATTCTCTGAACTCATCAATTTTTTTTTTTAAAGATTTTATTTATTTGAGAGAGAGAATGAGAGATAGCACGAGAGGGAAGGTCAGAGGGAGAAGCAGACTCGCTGCTGAGCAGGGAGCCCGATGTGGGACTCAATCCCGGGACGCCAGGATCATGACCTGAGCCGAAGGCAGTCGCTTAACCAACTGAGCCACCCAGGCGCCCTGAACTCATCAATTTGAACACATTTTGTCTCATCCCTGTGACCATGGTTGGAAGTCACTTCTTCAGTTCACATTAAAGTTGAACAGGAAGAAGGGAGCCTGGGTGGCTCAGTCATTGGGTGTCTGCCTTTGGCTCAGGTCATGATCCCAGAGTCCTGGGATCGAACCCCATGTTGGGCTCCCTGCCCAGCGGAAGGCCTGCTTCTCCCTCTCCCTCTCCCTGCTGTTCTGCCTACTTGTGCTCTCTCTCTGTCAAATAAATAAAATCTTAAAAAAAAAAAGTTGAACAGGAAGAAAAAAAATAGTAAGTTTCTAAAAACAACCTTGATTTATCTATAATGAAAGGCATCGATGGTTTAGAATTCCTTCCAGCAATAATAAGAGAACAAGGTGCTTGATGAATCCCAATACATCTATTCTGAATCACAAATTCCTGGGTGACTAAAATAAATTCCTAGAGTCAAACTTAAATTGGGACTGTGACCGAGTACCAGAAAAGAAACACCTGCTTTATTAATACAACAGCAACAGAAAAGGATTCCAAGTTCTTAGAAGAAAAATAACATGAACAGGCACCACCTGCTAAGTGTTACAAGATCCAATGCCCACGATGACTGTTTGGAGAGCCCCCCACCACACTGCAGATGTCTCATCAAGGACAGCTGCCAAGAACAGGTTTCTCACTGCAGTAGCTTCACAGTCAATTCCTCAAACAGAAGACTGAGATGATATTATTCCTGTTTGAGAAGCTCTTGGTGTAGAGAGAACATAGCAATTTGGAAAACGTGCTTGTTTCTTGAATTCAAGAAAAATCATGAACCAGTCTATCAATTTTTCTCTGCTATGGTGTGCCAGAGTGTTCTGTGAAAGATTTCTTTTCCGATCCTATCCCGTGTCCAGGTGAGAGGAGAGGCAAGGTGGAGAGGGGGCCCGTGTTCTAACAGGCACTCAGATGGTGCCCTGCGCCTACTTCCTCTGTGCTGGCGGTGGTAGGCGTCTTTTCTGGCAGCTGCAGCAGCTTGGTGGGAGGAAGAGGCCACCCACCAATCACCTCTTCTTGAAGCCGTATTTTTTGCGTTCATAGAAGAGATCTGTCTTAGAGCTCCCCAAATTGACAATCTTGGGGCAACCATCTCTCTGGAAAACAGGATAGAGAAGTTGTTAAAAGTCTTTGAGCCTGAATTGAGAGGGACTGAAGATAAAAATAACTTTTGGATCGGTGGGTTTAGCTATTTACCTTATCCGTGCAGTTATCCTATTCAGTCAATCATCAAGAATTTATTGAGCATTTAGAATGTGCCCAGGGCTTGTCCACTCTCTAGACAGGGTGGCCTACACTTAGAATGTTGGATTCTCAGCCCACTTCTGTTGCAAATATGATATAGCTGAGATAGAATTTAACTCTTAAGATATCCAAAAGGTGGGGCGCCTGGGTGGCTCAGTCGTTAGGCGTCTACCTTCGGCTCAGGTCATGATCCCAGGATCCTGGGATCGAGCCCCACATCAGGCTCCCTGCTCAGCAGGAAGCCTGCTTCTCCCTCTCTCACTCCCCCTGCTTGTGTTCCCTCTCTCGCTGTGTCTCTGTCAAATATAAATAAATAAATAAATAAATAAATAAATAAATAAAATCTTAAAAAAAAAAAAAGGTATCCAAAGGGTTTTCTTCAAGTGAGAGGTAAAATTCTGTAATGATCATCTACAGATCAAGCTCTTTAGCTCTCCTCTACCATCTCAAGAAAGGGAAGAATACCACCAAGGCAAAAAAAACCCTTACAGGCTTTAGGAGATAGTACTTTACATGTTAAACACCATAGGAGAAAACAGGGCTTGATGTGTCCTTATTAATTCACTTAATCTGACACATGGTCTTGGGGGAAGAGTGTTCCTGTGTTAGAGATGGCTGCTGAAGGTCTGTACTGATTTGTAATGACACGTTCCCCTGGCCATTTTGTGAGCTTGAGCGGTTTCAGTGAAGCCCCTGGGAAGCTGTGTTCTGCAGAAATGATGAATACATCAGTTGATTTGGGATGATGGGAGGAATATTGGGGAAGATGCTACTAGAAAAAACCTTCACAGGTCTGATTTTATTAAACACTGCTATCAAAGGAAGTTGCTCCCTGGGACACTGGGCTTTAGAATGAATTAATGATCAAATCTTTAGACATCTCATTTCTAATTTAGGTGACTTCTCCTTTGGGGGACCAATGTCAACACCGTACAAAAATCTCTAAAAACACACAAAGCCAACACTAACATCACATTATTTTCTAAAAAACATGTAGTATATATTACCTTGAGAACTGCTATCTGTGGAATTCAGTGTGCTGAGGGAGCCAGGGAGTGGGCCCAGCCCCACCAACAGCTCCCGACGTGAACTCAGGCCGTGTAATCTCTATTGAAAGTCCTGGGGCAAATGAGGGAGCACCTGCCTCTTATGGTGAAGGTGGCCTGATACCAAACACAACCATGCTCTAAGTTCTTTATCTTTAGAGATGCTATGAAATGTTGTGCTATGAGAGCCTGTTTAGGCTTATTATACCTTACTGACTTGCATGACTGTGGGCAAATCACTTCTCTTTGGACTCATATTCCCTAACTGTAAAATAAGTGGACCAGATCAGGTCCATGTGTACAAACTGTAGAGAGCCCTGGAGAGTTCTGCGAGGTGCCAGGTGATACAAGGACCCATCCTTCAAACTGGGCAGCTCCAGACTCACAGCTTAGGTTAAGATGGTAGGCTGTGGTGTCAGGCCACCTGACTTTTGATGTTATTAATCTCTTTGTATCTCTTTTTAGTCACGTATAAAATTACCACAATGGTAGAACCTATCTACAGAGTTACAAATCAATAAGTACTTAAATAAATGGATTTCCGAATTTATTTGACAGAGAAAGAGTGCACAAGCAGGGAGAGCAGGAGAGGGAGAAGCAAGCTCCCAGCTGCGCAAGGAGCCCAATGTGAGACTTGATCCCAGGACTCTGGGATCATGACCTGAGCTGAAGGCAGACGCTTAACGACTGAGCCACCTAGGTGCCCCTGTAAAACACTTTTTGAAAATAGGACTCTACAAGTTAAAAAACAGTTCGGGGGCGCCTGGGTGGCTCAGTTGTTAAGCGTCTGCCTTCGACTCAGGTCATGATCCCAGAGTCCTGGGATCGAGCCCTGCATCAGGCTCCCTGCTCGGCAGGAAGCCTCCTTCTCCCTCTCCCCCTGCTTGTGTTCCTGCACTCGCTCTGTCAAATAAATAAATAAAATATTAAAAAAAAAAACAGTTGGAAAACCAATGTATCAGATTATGAGATCTTTGGTTTTTATGGCAGTGTCTCACAGACTGTTTTCTGTTTTCTTGCCTAAACACTCCTGCGTTTTATTTTCTACACATCTCCCAAGGGTCTAATTGTTGTTTCCAAATTCTACCAATGCTGTATGAGGTGAGGATGTGCTCTCTGGAACAAGCTGGCTTTTGTTGAATATGCCTGTAAATGGGATCCTGAGGCGGGGCTCCATCCCAGGATCCTGGGATCAAGACCTGAGCCGAAGGCAGATGCCTAACTTACTGAGCCACCCAGATGCCCCAGTAATTGTGTTTTTCTGATCTCAAAATTTTTTTCATTGCCTTTTCCTGCATTTCAGTTTTGTATAGATTTCCATTTGATATGTTTTGGTAATGATAAGTGTTGGATTTAAAATATTAGTTGGGGCACATGGGTGGCTCAGTCGGTTAAGTTTCAACTCATTTTGACTCAAGTCATGATCTCAGCCTTGGGATTGAGGCCCGGACTGCACTGGGCTCCGTGCTCAGTGGGGAGTCTGCTCCTCTCCCTCTCCTCTGCTCGCTCCAGCAAGTGCCCTGCCTCAGGATCTCTGCTCAGTGGGGAGTCGGCTACGGCCTCTCCTCTGCCCCTCCTCCCTGCTTGTGCTCTCTCTCAAATAAATAAGTAAAATCTTAAAAAAAGGAAAAATACAATTCCTGAAAGTGGGCCTACATCTTTCTTACAAATGATAGCAAAGAATTATGAAATGGGTGCTAGTGGCAGGGCCTGCTTTATTAATTGAAATTAAATGTGTAGTTTTTTTAAAGATTTTATTTATTTGACAGAGAGAGACACAGCGAGAGAGGTAACACAAGCAAGGGAAGTGGGAGAGGGAGACACAGGCTTCCTGCCGATCAGGGAGCCCAATGTGGGTCTCGATCCCAGGACCCTGGGACCATGACCTGAGCCGAAGGCAGACGCTGAACGACTGGGAGCCACCCAGGCCCCCCCCCCACTTTTTTTTAAGTAATCTCTATACCCAACATGGGGCTCAAATTTACAACTTGGGGATCAAGAGTCTCATGCTCTACTGACTGAGCCAGCCAGGTGCCTGTTTTTTGTTTTTAATTAAAAAAAAAATATTTGTAGGGGAGAGTGAGTAGGAGCGGGGTGGAGGGGGAGAGGGAAAGGGAGAGAGAATCCTCAAGCAGACTCCCCAGTGAGGGTGCAGCCTGACGTGGGGCTCAATCCCAGGACACTGAGATCATGACCTAAGCTGAAATCAAGAGTCAGCCACTTAACTGACTGAGCCACCCAGGTGCCCGTGTTGTTTTTTTTTAAAGTAAACTCTACTGACCAACATGGAGCTCAAACTCAAGACCCTGAGATCAAGAGTCACATGCTTTACTAACTGAGCCAGCCAGGTACCCCAAGTGTTGTTCATTCTTTTGACAACTGTTTAGTGAATAACAATAATGTGAAAACCAGACTGTACATTGATTGGGACCTTAACAATAGTATCATGTTTTCCATCTGAAAGGCCTTTAACCTCTCAATAATGGTATCCATGAAATAACGGGGATATTACTTCCTTTTTGGAGAGAATTCCCTAAAGCCACCCACATGTTCGCAGCAAAGCAAGACTTGAACATGGGCTTTCTGCCTCCTAGTCTGGTGTTTTTACTACCTGGGCTTCTCAAGAGGCAAAAACCAAAACTTTCCCATGGTTTAAGAAGTTGTAAAGGAGGTAAACTATGAATTAATTTTGAAAAGTACCAAAGATCCTTTTTTTCAGCCTAACGGCTCTGCTGTTCACTAAACAGGGAAAAAAGAATGATATAAACAGTGAGAGGGAGGGCGCCTGGGTGGCTCAGTCATTAAGCGTCTGCCTTCGGCCCAGGTTATGGTCCCAGGGTCCTGGGATCGAGCCCCACATCGGGCTCCCTGCTCCGCGGGAAGCCTGCTTCTCCCTCTCCCACTCCCCCTGCTTCTGTTCCCTCTCTCGCTGTGTCGCTGTCAAATAAATAAAATCTTAAAAAAAAAAAAAAAAAAGCAAGAGGGAGAGGCACATCCTGAACCGCCCTGAGAATAGCAATATAGTGAGGTGGTTTGAGGAAGTGCTTTGACTGTGATCACTCATTTTTTTTTTAAATTTTCATTCTTTTATTTTTAAGATTTTAGTTATTTATTTGACAGAGAGAGACAAAGCAAGAGAAGGAACACAAGCAGGGGGAGTGGGAGAGGGAGAAGCAGGCTCCCCTCCGAGCAGGGAACCCGATGTAGGGCTCAATCCTAGGACCTTGGGATCACAACCTGAGCCAAAGGCAGATGCCTAAGGACTGAGCCACCCAAGGACTGAGCCACCCAGGCGCCCTGACCACCCATTCTTAAAAGTGATGAAACCATCTTCAATATTACCATGGTTTGTATTTAACCTCACCCAATAAAATATTATTTCTTAGCACTTAATTTCTCTCGTTAGAGAGAAAACATAATTTGAATTTTAACTTTCTCTTTAGGGGGCAATAATGAAATGAAAAACATGAAAAACAGGGAGTCAGAAAACTTGGGCTCTAGTCCTGGATCTGCCATTGATTAGCCATGTGACCTTGGGCCAAGTTGCTTTAACATCTGGAAGCCTTAGTTTTCTCGTTTGTATCACAAAGAACTTTTGAAAAGAATGTTCAGCACAGTTTGGGGCACACAGCAAGAGCTCTGTAAGTGTTAGTGGCTATTCCCCTTGTCTTCTGGTTGGGAGAGCTGAAGAAAATATAAGAGAAATAAAGAAATCGAAGGATAAGGGGTATCAGATCAGTATGACGCTGCACTATAAGAAACTACAAATGAGGGGCACCTGGGTGGCTCAGTCGTTCAGCGTCTGCCTTCGGCTCAGGTCGTGATGCCAGGGTCCTGGGATCGAGCCCCGCATCGGGCTCCCTGCTCAGCGGGAGGCCTGCTTCTGCCTCTGCCACTCCCCCTGCTTGTGTTCCTGCTTTCACTATCTCTCTCTCTCAAATAAATAAAATCTTAAAAAAAAAAAAGAAACTACAAATGAGTCCTCTGGCAGCAGCGCACAGATATGACTCCTGAGTATTCTTGATGCTAAGAACTAAGTGAGAATGCCCGTTTAATGCACTGGTCTAATTCCCTGATAAATTATGAAAATGGCACGAAGAGGAGTACAGTAACTGGGCTTGCTTTGGCTGCAGGATTTCTGCCTAGGAAAAAGGTCCGAGGGACTTAATCTACATGAAGACCTGTAAGGCTGAGAGGCTGGGTCATGTCACTGGACTGCTTTGCGGGCCTTGGAGGCTACTGCTGAGTAAATGTAAGCTAGACGCCGTCTCAAGTACCCTCAGAACATTCCTGTACAGTATGAAGTAGACGGAGTGATGTCTAGAATTATCAGGAACAGAACGAAGCACAAAGATCCAAAGTATCAGTTCACACACCACATGCAGACAAGTCAAACAGTAATTAACATTTACTAAGCACTCTGGTTACAAGCTTATTCCAGACAAGAACTCTAACTACAACCATGTAGAAGTTAAAAAAAATGTTGTCCTTATGGACTCTGTAGCTAGTCTAAGACCTGTTCATATTTTTCTCATCACTGCTGTTGCCTTCCCATAGTTTCACTGCTTATAGATTATAATCATCAAATACTTACTGTATGCCAGACGTTATGGATGGCTTACAGGGGAAGCACCAAAATGTGGACCATGCTTATAATACGTACCAGACACTATACCAAGAACTCAGGGAAAAGAGAGATAAATAGCGAAACCAAGGTCCTTTCTCTAAAGGAGTGCAACCTAGCCAGTGGATCAGATAGATAAAGATATGCTTTGACACACAAAGATAAATGCAAATCAGGGGCGCCTGGGTGGCTCAGTCAGTTGAGCGTCTGCCTTCAGCTCAGGTCATGATCCTGGGATCCTAGGATCCAGTCCCTCCCTCTCGCCCGGGGCGGGGGGGCTGCTTCTCCTTCTCCCTCTGCAGCTCCCCCTGCTGGTGCTGTTGTGTGCGTGCGTGCGCACGTGTGCGCTTGCTCTCTGTTAAATACAGTCTTTAAAAAAAGAGAATTAAACACAAAAGATTTATTTGACAGAGAGCACGCACCTGCAAGAGGGGGGAGGAGCAGGGGGAGAGAGAATCCTCAAGCGGACTCCCTGCTGAGCACAGATCCTGACCCTGGCTTGATCCCAGGACCCTGAGATCATGACCTGAGCTGAAACCAAGAGTCAGCTGCTCAACCTACTGAGCCATCCAGGCATCCCTCATGTATCTTTTGCCTTACCCTAGATTAGGTAATCAGGTACCTTCTATTAGCTTAGTGGTACTATTATGACACTTAAAAAAATTTTTTGGGGGGGCACCTGGGTGGCTCAGTCTGTTAAGCGTCTGCCTTTGGCTCAGGTCATGATCCCAGGGTCCTGGGATCTAGCCCCGCATCGGGCTCTCTGCTCAGCAGGGAGTCTGCTTCTCCTTCTCACTCAAATAAATAAATAAAATCTTAAAAAAAAAAAAAACTACAAAACTTTTTTTATGATTTTATTTATTTGTCAGAGAGAGAGCATAAGCAGGGGGAGTGGCAGAGCAGGCAGAGAGAGAAGCAGGCTTCCCGCCGAGCAAGGAGCCCAATGTGGGACTTGATCCCAGGACCCGAACTGAAGGCAGACGCCTAACCGACTGAGCCACCCAGGTGTCCGACACTTCTTTTTACTGTGTCATACGTAAGGAGAAGAAAACAAGCAGATTCATAGTCCCCACCCCCCTAAGGTTCTTGCTTCCAACCTAAACAAAAACAGTAGAACTTGCTTTTGTTATAGATCTACAAGCCCTCTATCCTGGCATTTGACTAAAGGAATTGAACAGCCACTGCCGCCACACGATGTCAAGGGGCAAAAATGTCACGAGACAGAATCACAATCCTGCAATATCAGACCAAAGGCATTTTTTAGCCAGTTAAAGTGGGAATCAACTTGAATTGTCCCAAATTCAACTGTGACCACATCCACTCAAACAATCTTTAATGATAGTAAAGAAAATGACTGAGTAGCTATTACATACTGTGCACTGTGCCAGGACTCACAAAGTGCAGGATGTTGTTTCTGAATAAGAATAATCAGAGAGAGACACCAAAGGAGTAGAGAGGGCTCTTCAAATTGCTGATGTTGACAAAGTTTTGCTTCTGTTGCATTTTAGCCCTTGATGCAAAATAACTGCCTTTTATTGGACTACACCCAGCTCACCTCATAGAACTTGAGGAAATTATAACCTACGTGCCTAGCTGAACATAGTAATCTCCACAGGCCACAGGAGTTTGCCGTGGTTGGCAAAGAGTTACTAAATAAAAGCAGCAAAGCTCAGATGGAAAGCTTAGTATACACTCACATCCTTCTCCTGGATGGTGCACTCCTTACAATAATAGGCATCAGAGACTCCAGGGCCTCCACAGATCACACAGCGCCCCTGGTAAGAACCATAATTACACTCATCACATATGCGCACCAGAGTGCAGGGACGCACGTAGGAGTCACAGATCACACATTTGCCATCACCTGTGAAGAAGAGAGAATGGAATTATGCCCACATGCAAGTACCTCCTTAAGTCTACTACCCTCCTCCTGCTATGGGGAAATACGGTAGTCTCCGCCTGATTGTGACTTTAGGACCCTCTATTTTGATTATCACAAAATTCAGCTAACCCAGCGTCCATCTCAATCCCTTCAACATGTAAGTTAACCAACTAATATATAAAGAGGCTAGAACATCACCTCATAGACAAGAACTCCCTATCATTACTGGCAAAGAACTGTGTATGTGTGTTTTGGGGACGGGGTCAGGCCATCTCCTGGCCAAAGCTAGAGATTTTCTCAAAACGTAAACCTAGGGACGCCTGGGTGGCTCAGTTGATGAAGCAGCTGCCTTTGGCTCAGGTTATGATCCCAGACTCCTGGGATCGAGTCCCGCCATCGGGATCCTTGCTCAGCGGGGAGCCTGCTTCTCCCTGTGCCTGCCGCTCCCCCTGCTTGTGCTCTCTCTCTGACAAATAAATAAAATCTTTAAAAAACAAACAAACAAAACACCTAAACAATGTTTAAAATGTGCAAGTTGGAGCGGGGAGATGGAGAGGGCTTTGGTTGCAGCCTAGTACTCAATGTTCACATACTTCCAGGCACATCTACTCAAAACCCTCTTTGTGTTACTGCTGGAAATGCCTGTTTGCTGGCTTTACACAAACTTGTGAGGGGAAGGAGTGGGGTGTTTGGGAGGGCGTGTTCCACTCACATTTTTCACACAGTCTTCCGATGGCTGCAAGATGAAAGATGGTAAAGAGTACAATTAGAATTGGTTTTGACGAAGATCCTCGAGTTTGGGGTGGCGACACAGCAGGGACTGCAGTGAGCCTTAAGGGCTCTTATCCGTCTTACCCTCATCGTAAGCTTCCATGCGAAGCAAACCCACCCCCTTCTGAGGCCGCTCCCAGGTCCTGGGCAATCTGAGCTTCCCCGGACCTCACTTCTGCCGCCCGCCTCTGGCTCCCAGCACGCGCGCCCCCGCCCTCTTTGCATCAGAGCCCACAACCCCGCGCGCTCCCATGCTACCAACCGTGAGGCGGGAAACGTGGCGCCTCCGAGGCAAAACCCTAAGGATGAGACGGGAGCCTCTGACCCCCCAGCTCCTAACACCATCCCCACCCACACAGCTGGGAGCAGAAAGCTGCCTCACCAACACCAGCCTGCTTGCGGCAAAAGATCAAATCCGGATGATGTTTAGCCATAGTCCAAACGCTAGCCGGCCACCGGAAGCTTAAAGAACTTCCGTGCGACCTTTAGCCTCCATTTTCCAGCCTCCCGGTCGCTGTGATTGGTCCTCCAGGCTTCATCAACACCGGTTCGCTCTCGCTCTCTCTGGCTCGCTCTCGCGTGATTAAAACCTCAAGTTAAACAGTAGGAGTTTCCGTCGTGGCTTGGGAGCCAGGTCCTGGCAGATGCATGGAAGTCATTAAAAAAATGCCTTTCCCAGATTTGGATGGAAGAGACAACTGAAATTTGCCCTTCGATAACACATTTATGTGTCCGGTATCTACTTCCGCAAGTGTTTTTAGGCAGCTCTTTTCTTTTCAGGCCTCCGTTTCTAACACGGAAGCTCCGCCCCCTGCGCTCGCCGGGATCAGGCTCCTCAACGGAGGCTCCGCCTTCACCGTTATGCGTTTCTCTTTAGGCCCCGCCTTTGCCCCAAAGCTTTAAATACGCAGTGGTTCACGTCATTTTCACGCGACCTCATCTTTGTCAGTGCACAAAATGGCGCCTTACAGCCTACTGGTGACCCGGCTGCAGGTGAGCGAGTTCAGGGCCCTCTGGGTTCATGAGGGCGGGGTGCCTCCTACTGTGCCTGCGGCTGTGGGCGAGGCAAGGCGAGGCGGGCCCGACCTCCCGCCGACTTTTCGTGTACCTGTCCCGACCGTGGGCCCAGTGTCGGTGCCCGCTCCTCCCGCGCCCGAGGTCAAGGCGTCCCGGCTCGGCTCTCCCGGTCCTGTCCCCGCCCCGTGGGAAGCGTAGGTCTAAGCAGCGGCTGTCAGGTGAAGAGTGGAGGCACCCTTTTCTGAGGACTGCACTCTCCTCTCTTGTAGGGTGTCTTTCCCCCGTTCCTCAAGGTGAGGACAAGGTGACTGAGGGGGCGCGGTCATTGTGGAGCCCGCTAGGCCCAGAGTCTGAAGGCCTCATTTCTCATCTCTCGGCAGCAGAGTCCTGCTCGCCAGGTGCATCTACGATTGCCAGGCCTGGAGACTGTAGAAGAGATTAGTACCCTGTTCCATTTTAAAAGGATCCTGTGGAACATATAGCCAAGAATGCGAGGGGACTTTCCTGGACCAGACATAGTAAATAGTAACGATAACAGTAGTCTCTCATCTTTGCAAGATTGCAAGACTGTTCTAATTCCTCGTCATATCATTTGATTATTCATATAATCATCTGGTGAGGTGATAATTCTCATTGGATAGGTGACAAAACTGCTAGAAAGTAGGTGAAAGTTTGTGCTCTCTTGCGTGTCACCGAGGTGATGTGGCCAGAGCATGTGCACTGCTTACCCTTTTGTTCTTGTTCATGTCAGTCTGTCTTCTGTGAGCCAGAGTGTGATCCTTGGGCTCACATTTGTATTTGTGAGAGGACTAGTATAGAGTATTTTGAGCTCAGTTAGTTTCTTTTCAATTACTAGGTGGAGGATAAAGAGACTCAACAGTTTGACCTTGACTCTCCTGTTATGAACCATCTATTAAATTGACTGTGACGGCGGGATGGTTTTCTTCACTCCTAACTTAACACTGGGGAGGTTTTATATGTAGGTTTCAATGTCAAGCATGTATTTTTTTTTTAAGATTTTATTTATTTATTTGACAGAGACAGCGAGAGAGGGAACACAAGCAAGGGGAGTGGGAGAGGGAGCTCAGCAGGCCTCCCGTTGAGCAGGGGGCCTGAGGGGCGTCAGATTCCAGGCTCAATCCCAGGATTCTGAGATCATGACCCGAGTGGAAGGCAGTCGCTTAACCAACTGAGCCCCCCAGGCGCTTCAAGCATGTATTTTGTTAATAAGCAATAAAGTAGACATTCTCTAACAACCTTTTACATTTAACTTCGTGAATCTGCTTTGAATCAAGTGGCATAGCTTTGATTATAAAATTAAAGAAGTTATGTGCTATACTCTCAGGAAGCATTGTGTTACTAGGTTTTGTTTTGTTTTTTTTTTTAATCACATTGCTTAAATTTAGACCATAGGGTTTAAAATGAAATCCGGGCAGCTGGGTGGCTCAGTCGTTGAGCATCTGCCTTCCGCTCAGGTCGTGATCCCAGAGTCCTGGGATCGAGCCCCACATCCGGCTCCCTGCTTGGCGGGAAGCCTGCTTCGCTTCTTCCTCTCCCACTCCCCCAGCTTGTGTTCCCTCTCTCGCTGTGCCTCTCTTGGTCAAATAAATAAATAAAATCTTTTTTTTTTTAAGAGGGTTTTTCTTTTCTAATTTATTATTATTTATTTATTTATTTGAGAGAGAGAATGAGAGAGAGAGAGAGCACATGAGATGGGGGAGGGTCAGAGGACGAAACAGACTCCCTGCCGAGCAAGGAGCCTGATGCGGGACTCGATCCTGGGACTCCAGGATCATGACCTGAGCCGAAGGCAGTCGCTTAACCAACTGAGCCACCCAGGCACCCAATAAATAAAATCTTAAAAAAAAAAATTCTAAAGAGAAAATTAGGGCAAACCCCTTATTTTTGCCCGGAATTGAGAGATTGTAAGTATTTAAGACAAATGATCTCATTTTTTTAAAAAAATATTTTACTTATTTGACAGACATGGCGAGAGAGGGAACACAGGGGGAGTGGGAGAGGGAGAAGCAGGCTTCCCGCAGAGCAGGGAGCCCGATGTGGGGCTTGATCCTCAGGACCTGAGCCTCAAGGCAGACACTTAACGACTGAGCCACCCAGGTACCCGTCTCTTTAGAATTCTTGATTTTCTAGGTTAATAATGTAGAAAGAAAGGTAGTTGTTTTTTCCTGATCCTGCTGTCCCATGATGTAGTGAAGTCAGGCAATATATTTGATGTTAAATGATTACAGATTTAGTGATCTTGGAAGAGAGGACTAATATTACAGTATTTTTGAACTGAAAAAGGATTTTGGAAAGCATTAGTGTTAGACTAGTATAGAAAGAGATCTGGGCCATAGTTCATATTCTTTCCTGACCCTGTGACCTTGAGCAAATTACTTTTGAATTCTAGTTTCCTCATCTGTCAGTTTGGGATGATCTTCATTGATAAATGCTTATTGAGCACTTGGTAATAGGCTTCCATTCAGTTTGTTATGAAGATAAGAAAATGGAATATATTTGTTTATGATCATCCTGTAGTCCAACTTCCTTTTTTATAGATGGATAATATAAGACCTTGGGAGCCTGGGTGACTTCCAGTAGCAGAGTGAGGATTAAAATCCAGGTATCCTTGTTTGTTCATTCAGTTAAGATGAATGAATAGCAGTATACTACACTGCCTCCCAATAGCCAGGCTGTCTTAAGTAATGGACAGCTAACACTGTCCTCTGAGAACCTTGTAAATTTACCTCTTTTGTATTTAGCTAGATTTGAGAAGTGATGGTACTACTGTAGTTGTCATGGCTGCAGAACCCTGTCCATGCGTTCAGTTTATTCCTACCTCATTCACTGCATATTTATTGAATAACCACCACTCGCTTCGAATACAATGATGAGCAAAGCAGACAGGTCCCATTTTCGTGGAATTTGTACTATATTCTGATGTGTTTTACTGCAGAGGGCCTTGGAAGTCTTTCTCAGCCAAAATATTTTTCTTCTACCCTTGGCTGGACCAAAGGTGAAGGTCACTAATAGAATGATGACAATTACTACTGCCATGAAGAGTAGCTAATGTTTACCTTGCTGTGTGCCAGTAATCCCACATGATCCTGTGAGATAGGGCAGACCTCGTAGCTCTGTCTAATAGACAAACAGGATTAGAGAAGAAACACAGTATGAGGGTTAAGAACCTGGATTCTGGCATAACATTATCTTGACTTGAAAACTGACTCTAATATTCCCTAGCTGTGACTGGGAAGATTACTTGACCTCTCTCTGCCTCTTCCCTCACCTGTAAGATACAGATAATGATAGTACGTCTGGCCTATTTAATTATTGTATTACAGTTGCAAACTATTTAGAACCCTGCCTATACCTTGTAAGTGCTGTATAGTTAAGTATAATTAAATTAAGTAACATGAAATAAACCTGCCTAGGGCCTTAATCACTAGTCGTTAGCAGGTGTGATTTGAATCTATACCTTTTTGATTCCAGAGTCTGAGGTCCTAGCACCTGCACTATACTGCTTCTCTTTGGCATCAAGACTCAGCCTATCAACCAGCGTACAGTTAATGCTTCATAACCTGAGAACAGATCTCCTTAAGTTGAAAGTGTTCCACTGTTTAACAGTGCCCGCCATCAGCTTGTAAGGTTAGAAACAGTGGAAAAAAATGGTAGTCAGCATTTTGAAAAGTCCCGTTTACTCTTTGGTATTTATTTTTTATTTGTGTGCACATGACTCTGGATGGTAGATAAAAGGGGTTGGGCACTTGCAAATATTTTTCTTAGGTCTTTGGTTTTGCCTTGAGGTACTGGGTTGCTGAGTTCTCATGTGACCTTGGGGAAGTCCTGTAACCTCACATGTAAATCCGAGATGGCCTTTAACTACAGAGGAGTCTGACAAATTTGGCAGAAGTTCTCTATAAAGTGCCATATTAAAACAACCACCACCACCACCTTGGGAATTAGGAAATGGGTTGTTCTGGTTGCACGTCACTGTACCGTCTTGGGTACCCTATAGTCAGCTGTTGACTGGAGTTGAGTAAATGAATGAATGATTGAATGCATGAGTAAACAAACTTCCAATCTAAAATTTGGGCAGAGGGAGTAGAGTCATCATCTTGAGAACTAGGGGAGCATATTGTTGCCGTTTGAACTAGCTGTTTCCAGAATGTTCAGTGAATGCTTTACTGTATGCCTAACACTGTTCTAGACGCTGCGAGTGCAACAGTAAACAAGAATAGTGGATCTTATATTGTAGTTCTGGGCAAACAAAATAAGTGGACAACATTGTAGCTACTAAGTGCTACGAGGAAGGTAAAGTAGGGTCCTGTGGTAGAGAGGGTAAGTGTGGGGATGTGAAATGGCTTTAACTGGGGTGGTTGGGGACGGCCCTTCAGAAGAGGAGATATTTGAGCTGATAATTGATAAGAAAGCA